CATTTTAAAGCACAACTCGGTTTTTAAAAAGTAAGAATACAAATAGCTGCATTTACTGAAGGTTGAGCGAGACACAGGACTGAAAATATTGTCTAACTTTATTTTTTTTAAGTAGTTAAATTTATTTAAAAAGTAGCATTATTGACCTCATCTTGCCTTGACCTCCCTGTAAAAAATTGTCAAAAAATTTTAGAAGCTCCCCATTATTCTGATGACGTAATTAACGAACAGCCTTAACACAGCAATGTGGTAGTTTTCTAAAATAAAAATAAAACTTTTCTAATTCACTAGGATAATAATACAAAAAATAAATAAATAAATCATGATAGCATATATGTTTTCATCTGAGGAGAAATAATTAGTCTCTAAAAAGTTGAAGTTTAATGATTCAAGATCATTTATTTCCGACATTTTAATTAAATTTGAAAAAAAAATTCCCTATAGAAAGTTGTGTCAAATTTTAAAACAACATACTTACCTTTTTTTCGCAACTTTATTACTTCTTCCACAATTTTTTTCGAACTTAAAAACTTTCCTTTGCAAAGTCTTCAAAGATTTAAATTCCTTTTCCGCGTTGGTTTATCGACTTTAGGAGAATATTCTGTTTGTCGTTGAAACTTAGGGTTTTAGGCATTATTTTGAAGTCTGACGTCTAAACATTTATTTTGAAGTCTAGTAAGTATTTTATACCCTAGTAAGTATTTTATAGCGCAGGCTATAAAATACTAACTAGGGTTTTCCCGGGTCAGAAAGTTAAAGTTAGAACCTACTTTATAACACTGTGCTGCATCTGTTTTTAAAATTGTATAGAGTATAAACGAGTTCTATTAATTTCATAAAAGATAAACTTTTAAACCTAGTAGTTTTAAAACAAATGTTTGCTTTTTTTCTGTTTTTATTGAACCCAATCTGTGCGCTCTTTCAGTGATAATTTCTATATAATTTTGGAGTTTTTCAGTAAATAAATTTTTAACAAATTTTTTACAATCTTTCCAAATTCACCCGGTAGTTCCATAGCACCGTTAATTCGCAATTTATTTCTTTGCAATCGATTTTTGAGATCTATCTTTTTCTTTTTGTCTTTAAAATTATTTTTTCATTATTTTCCTCAAAAAGTGTTGTATTGTAATAGTTTTAACGTGATCTATGAGTTAGATAGTTTCTAATATTTTTTTCATTAAAATTTTTTGGAAATGTATAGATGACCTACAAATGTTTACTTTCTCGTTTTCAAAAAATCAGATGCGTGCATACTTGTAGGCAGAAAAAACAAATACTTGGAAATTTTCCTGTAAAAACATTTAGATGTTTGTATGTTTTGTTAGGAAATTTATTCACTTTTTTTTTTTTTAATAAGAATTAAAACATATATTTGTATAAAGATATATATTAAAACATATATTTGTATAAAGATTGTAATTTTAAAAAAAAAATTATCTAGTTACTTAGGATTTAAAGCAAATACTTATGTTCATTTTCTATGAACTTTTCCTGTCTCTTCTAAAAATTATCTGATTTTCCAATAAATTAATCAAAATTCCTTGACTTTTGCAAAATTTATTTAGTTCTCTGATTTTTGTAGGATGTCCAGCAATATGCTTTACTATAAAGCAATTTATAGAGAAGCATTTTTTACAAATTAAAAGTTTAAGTATATTTAAAAGAAGGTAATAGTTTTAATCTGTCTTTTGCCTTTTTTTTTTTTTTAAATTACTTAAATTTTTTATTATGGTACAATTTTTCCAAAACTCTTTTGAATATGCAGTAAACTTTCCTAAAATATTCTGATGATTCGTCACTACCTATGGTTACAACTGGCAATTTTACATTATAAAATATTTCACTTAGGGTAAAGTTGCCAATATTGTACCGGCGCCTAAATTGTACTTTTGCTGTATCTAGTTATTTTTACAACCCAAAAAATATCTTTGCTATGTTGAAATTAGGAACTAATTGTTTTTATGTGTAATGAAACTAGTCTCTGGCAACAGTTACCTCGATTTGAAATGATGCCAAAGTTTTCTTATTTTTGAGATTCAATATTTAGATTATTACTTTAAACATGTTAAAATGTCTTTTTCATCATATTTATGTGAAAGCACTATTTATGTGAATTCAAAAAAACTTTCAATAAATTTAAAGTAGCATTTCTTGTCTAATATTGTTATAAACTCAAAGTGAATCATGTACCTCATTTAAGGTCTTAAATTGTACCAAAGCTGCCATTTTGAATTTTGAATATATGTAACTTTTGTCAAAAACAAAGATTTTCTGATTTGTAATACTAATATAATGTGCAGTAATATCCAACATTTTCCCACCAAAATTCTAACCACCTCATTAGTATGTTACACGTTTAACAAAAATCATTCAAAATATACTGTAAATTAATATAGTATTTGTAAAAATAAAAGTTATAGCTACAATATTGGATTATGATAATACGATTTAGGATCTTGTTTCCTTAATTGTACAGATAGCAAATTTTTTAAACTTTCCCTATCAAATACCATCGTTTAAGTATTTCAACTTTTTTAGAACAGTTTATGTCTAAATCATAAAGTACAATAAAGTCTCACTGTTTCTACTTTGTATTTTTTTTTTCTATTTTTGATCTTATTCTTAGAGGGTACAATATCGGCAACTTTACCCTATGATGTAATTTATTAAGTTTTAGAAGATTTTCAAAAGTAAAAAATTATTTTATTAAGTTTTAGAAGAATTTCAAAAAGCAAATTTTAAAAAGGCTTGCAAGAATTTTGTTGTTTTTGTCTTCCAAAAGCAATTTGAATTTAAAATTTTCTGAAGAACTATTTAAAACTTAACGAAAAGAAATGGAAAAAAATCTTGTTTGTGTGTTTTTATATAAAATACTTTTGAATGAACTCTTATAAGTTTTAAATGTTTTATGCCGACAAGTATGCGCGCGCATGTTGTTTATAAAAAGATACGACGTTTGATGCAACGTCACATCTTTTTGTAAACACAATAGATGACTTGCCTTGCTTGCACAACAAGTCATCAACACTTTCTTTTAATTCATTAATATTATTATGCATATGTCGTTGTTCAAATCGTTTTTAATTTTTTCGAGCTTGTCTTCTTATTAGCAAATTTGCGCAAGTGATTTTTGCTAAGTTTTTCTTTCGTTTTTTTTTCTTGCACTTTAAGAAGTTGTTATTTTTTTTTTTTTCTTTATTTTCTCTGTTCTTTTCATTAATTTTTTAATATTTTTTATAAAAACTTTCATAGTAATAAGTATGACTAATTATATGAAACAAATAAATGTAAAAATATTTTTTAATCAAGCGGGAAAAACGCGACTGTTTTCTTTACAGAAAAATGAATTTCAAACCTTAAAAAAAGCATTTAAACAACTTTTACCTCAACAGCTTTCAAAATAACCTTTCTTCTTTTATTCAATGTCACTTTTCTTTTATTTATTTTTTTTGATCCTGCAGCCATTTTTCAAAACACCTTAAGATGCTTATTACATATTCGAGAAAAACACAATTAAAATAAATTTTTAGGAGCTCTTTGTAAAATATTTTTTTTTAAGTAATAATTTTTTCATTTGAATTTTTTCATGGCTCATTGAAATTATATTTAATAAAGTTTGTTATCAAAATTAGCTTATTTCGTTAAAAAGTCAAATTTGATTATTTTTACATTAATCCGTTTTGAAAAACGGCTGCCGTATTACTCAGCGAAATTTTAGAAATTGATAAAGAAATTATTACCATTATAATTGCAATCAATTGCAAAGAACCAATTAATCCTTACTTGAGTTGCTTTAGTTTTATTTTGGTGTTTCTATTAGATTTTTTATTTATTGTGTTTTCACAATAAATAAAAAATCTAATAGAATTTTCTTCCAGTGGTATTGTAGGTGGTTTGATTCACAAACAAATTTGGTTGTGGTAGGGTTTTGGCTATTTGCAGTGAGTCCTTTTTTACTGCAGTATGGAATAGACGTAAATCGCGGGGTTAAGCATAATTAATATTCGTACTCTATACTCTTTTTAATTACGCCTCAAAATATGGGGTTTAGATCATCGAGGGCTCTGCACCAATATGTTTTTCAAGCGAAAAATATAAACATTTTTTTCTTTAAATGATAGAACTTTTGTGGGCTTTTTATTGCTACGCGCGTACAAGTAATGTATATGGTACGCGCGTACAAGGCTTTGAAAGTAATATTAAAATAATAATTAAAATTTATATGTATTAAAATGCATTTATTAGATAACTATATGCAGTAAAAAAAATTAAAAATATTATCGTATTTAAAACTGCAAAATATGGAATTTCGCAGGTCTATAAGCTGATTTAAAGACACAACAAAAAAAATGTTATATCATAATTCTCTATTTTACTCTTTTAAAGTATAATATCCACATAAATACAACAAATATATTGTTGGCCACTTATTTCAATGGAACCCTCTAAATGTGCAATGTTTCATAGTGTTTTGCATTTCACGGAGTTCAGTTTTACGCTAAATAATTTTCTTAAAAATTTTTTTTTGTAAAAAATTTAAAAGTTTATATAAATTTTAAACGGTAAACAATCAAACTTTTATGCAACTCCAAAAAGAGACTACTAATCTCGTTCTGACTTTTATCTTAACTTAGTAGAAGTACAAAAAAGTTATATATTTTTAGGTAATTTTTTTAAGATCAAAAGAAATAACTTCTATTGTGAAAATCAAATTCATTACAAGAAAGTTTGTTATTTTAATGACTTACATTTGACGGTAAAACACTTTTTTTAAATTAAAATTTTCTTTTGTGCAATGTAAACGGATATAAGGATATACGGTGGTTTTTTCCTGATGAAAACAAAGAAAAGAAAGCGAAAACAAAGAAATAAAAACAAAGTCGCTTTTCTTGACTTTGTTTAAATGTGTCTAAATTATTCAAAACGAACCAATATCAAAACGTTCCATAGTTTATCAAAAGAATTATAAAGTAAATAAATAGAAACATCAGTAGGGTTTTCAACTTAAGTGATTGTTGGCTCTAAGCTACTTTAATAGTATTTTTAAAAAAAACATGTAATTGTGCGTTGTAATATATATATAAAAAATTATTGGGATAACCTTTGGTTGATTTCATTGTTCTCAAAAATGATATTTTATGATACCCAACAGAAAACCATGTATCATTTATACTTGATTGCTTCTTCATTGTGCATTTATTGGACGCATGAAGTTAGCAGTAGTTTGCTAGGTAACTTGAAAATTTGTTTATACAAGAAGATCTTGTTTCTTTTAATGTTTAAATTGGCATTCATTAGCAATTGTTTTTAACTTATTGTTTAAGTTTTCAGTGTTTTTTTAGTAAGACTTTTGCCCAGGGTAACCCTGGGTAACCCTGGGTAACCTTAAATTAAATTGAAATACTCAAATAGTTTTATGAATTTATTTTTTTAGTTTAATATATTTATATTTTTACTACTTATTTATTATAGTATAATATATAGTAAAAATTTGTATATTGTTATATGCAGCATTTAGTAGGATTAATTAGGAAATATTAAACAGCTGTTTAATATCTTCAATTTAAAAATTTTCTTTCTGTTTTAAACAAAATATATTTGAACATGTTGCTTTTTTAAATTCAAACTTGCAAGTTATGAAAGTTTTAAAAATCTTTCTGTAAATTAATTTAAAAGTTTTAAAGTTTTTACCTTATTTAAAAATTATAACTTTAAAAAACTTTTAATTTGCAGTTAAAATGTAAAAAGTTTACCAGAAAAAGTTTTTAAAACATATATTTAATAAATATCATGTTAATAATTATATAAATTAGATTAACCGAAATTGGGTCATTATTATTATTTTTAATTATAAAAAAAAATCATATTTTAATAAATAAATTGTGTTTATTTAAAATGTAAGAAAACACACAGGCGTATTTACTTATCAAATATTTTATCTAAACTATTTTTTTCTGTTACATACAGGATATTCACACAGCTATTTGAACAAAGATTATTTACCGCTGATTGATAAGTAAACTAGTTTTTTTACTCAGCGGTGAGCTTGTCTAAGAAAAAGATTTTTTAGATCTCTGCTGCAGCGAGAGTATATAAATAGCACTAATATATATATCTATATATCTATATATCTATATATCTATATATCTATATATCTATATATATATCTATATATCTATATATCTATATATCTATATATCTATATATCTATATATCTATATATCTAGATATCTATATATCTATATATCTATATATATATATCTATATATATATATATATATATATATATATATATATATATATATATATATATATATATATATATATATATATATATATATATATATATATTTGGTTTCAATAAAACATTACAATTACAGAATAGCTTTTTTACAAATATAATTGGCAGAACTTTCAGAAGATCATTCGATCTTATCATGAAGCCCTTTACAATATAATAAAAATAATAATAATAAAAATGATAACAATAATAGTAGCAATAAAATAAAATTAACCAATAAAAATAAATCAACATAAACTTTATATAACTGTGCATTTAAAATATAAATACACTGGATTATATATATGAAATATATGAAAGAAAAGATCTAAAAATAAAATTAAAAAATATTAATTTTTTTAAAAGATAACTTCTTAAAAGTTAAAAAGATAACTTCTTTTAATTTTTGTTTGAAAGAAGTTAAAATCCATGTCAAAGAAAAATCAAAATTAGACAAAACAATTTTATTTAATAAATAAGGGCCGCGATTAGAAATATATAGTTGTTCAAATTTAGTGTGGCAGAAATGTTCTTGGAGATTTTTTCCATTACAAAGATTGTATTTGTTTATGGGTTTTGCATTATAAAATTTGCACTATAAACATTAGGAGATAAATGATTTTTACATTTAAACATGAAAGATAAAATATTATAAACATTTAGTTTGTATACATTTAAGGCTTTCATTTCTCTCAGAAGTGGTTTTGAACTTGAAAAACGATTTGCAAAATTAATTAAGTGAGCAGCGTGTTTCTGATGCTGATAAAGAGATTTAAGTTTAGTTTTTTGCGTACTGGATAAACTAATAATATAGTTGCTTTAATTGTTGTTTATTTAACATATGTCGAACTTTTGTAAGTCGAACTGTATGTCAAACTTTTGTAAGATTTGTAAGTCAGATCAGGTTGTCCTGCTACAAATAACATTTAACCCAGTTTTGCTTTATTGTGCTTCGTGCAATCATTTTCTGCTGCCTTGTAGAAAAGGCATTTTTAAGCAAAGGCTAGGAGAAGCCGACTTCGATTTAAAACACCCCTGAAGGTGTCTCGATAAAAATACTCATCTTGCGCAGATGTTAAACGCAACCGGCTACTGTCTTGTAGAAGGCCTTCTAAGTAAAGACTTAAGGGGTAAACAGATTTTATCTGTTAACCAATCTCGCATCCCTTCTTCATCTATTAGGCTGGCGCAGATGTATCTATAATACATTGTTTCCAGTTTAGGATGTTGAAAGCTGGATGTTGAATCTTTTGACTTAATGCATGGATTTTGCTTGTGTCTCTATTTTTATGACTGATAACTCATTATATTATCTCCTAATGAGGGTACAGCTCAAAAACTCAGTTTTATGGTTCTGAGGCCGGCTGGTAGTCCGGTTTCTTAAACTCTGTGGTAGCTTTCAGAGACGATGATTTCATAAATAGGTGAAAAATATAAGAGTATTAACAGTGCCATGTTACGTATGGGTGGTGTCCCTGTTCTTACTTTTGGTATGCATTGCCGAGACCACATTAGGAACCCTTTTTTACGGCTTAGGGTTTATTAATAGTAATGAGGCAATTTCTTGGACTACTAAATAGTGCATTGAGTACTGTCTATGTTTTGAGTCAAGTTCTTTAAAAAATTTAAAATGAATAAGGTACAAAAAACTATAAAACACAAAAAACCATCGTCATCACCGAGTAATCATTCACTAAATCATTCACTTATACTCGTCATTCAACAAGACCTCATCTTTTTTCTGTGACTGTTTCTAATTGCTCCAAAAACTCTTATTCGTGAATTTTTTTTCCTCGAACATCAGTTCTTCGGAATTCGCTTCCTTCATCTTGCTTTCCTGGTTCATATAACTTGCAATCTTTTAAGTCGTCTATCAATCGTAATCTTGCTCTAAAAACTTTATTTTTTCTCTTCCAGTAACTTCGAATTCTAATAGTGGCTGCTTGCAACCTTGTTGGAAACGAAGATGTTGAAAAAAAAACTTTATACACAATAAACATTAAAAATAAATCCCTTAACTGGTTAAAAAGCTTAGTAATCGTAAAAAGTTCGTTAATATCCAAGACTCTTCTTTGCCGTTTTTAATGAACGTAACATGTAGTGTCCCACAGGGATCCATAGTTGGGCTCCTATAGAAAAAAATCTATTTGTTCGCTTTGGAGCTCAACAAAACCTTTATTAGTTGATAAAGTAATCTTTCTCAAACGTAATCTTTCAAAATTAATCTTTCTCTTTCTTTCTTTCTCAAACAATAATGAATACAAACAATTCAAACTTTTCAATACCATTCTTATTCCAATTCCAAATATTTGTAAGCATTTCAACATTTTTATAAGAATGTCTACATACCTCTATTTTCAGTACGGACTGAATCTAATGCTAAGACTTTGTCATTTAAACTTAATGCCATCACATGCTGTAATAAAAAAGCTTGCTTTCCAATTGGCGTTCAATTGAGGTATCACCCTGTTCGTAAAAAATGTTTGTCTCAGGGTCGTTTTTGCAAATTTTTTTTTTAAATTTCATTAAACGACCTCTTAGACTTTATATAGAAGCTTTATGAAGCTCTTTATACCACAGCATCTTATTAATTCCAGTTATTATTAAGACAAACATTTTATTTATGCTTAACCAGAAAAAACTGAGACAAACATTTTATTTATTAACTCAATAAGATAACCTCTTATTCGTCTTGTTTCCAGTGTTGTAAGACCTAAATTTTTCAATCTTTCAGTATAACTTATATGTTTTAGTTAAGGTGCTAATTTTGTTGCTTGTCTTTAAATTTTTTCCAGGTCATTAACACTTTTTTATTACTTGGACATCATACTGGAGCTGCGAATTCTAGGTGTGGTCTAATTAACAATGTGGTAACTGCCATACCAATTCAATCTTAAGATAAGTAAAGTTTTTTCTGGTTAAGCATAAAATACTTTGTGCTCTAAAGCTAGCTAATTAAACTTGATGATTCCATTTCATATCGGATAAAACTATTACGCCTAAGTCTAGTTTTTTTGTTGTTTTTAAATGAAAACTTTGATTATCTTATTTCATTGTGTGGTTGTAGTTAATAATTTTTCTTCCGATGTGCGTAGTACTGCATTTACTTATGTTAAACTTCATTAACCAAACATTTGACCATTTAGTTAACAAGTCAATGTCATTTTGCATGTTAATTAGATCATTAACTTTTTTTTATAATATATGATTATAATATCATCTGCATTTAGATATAAAAATAAAGAGATACATTTAGGATGATAATTGATATATAACAGAAAGAGAAGAGGACCTTATACCGAACTCTGTGGTACACCACTACTTGCACCAATCAAAACTTTATCCATTAACACTCTGTGTTTTTTGTTTTTTAAAAAAGTCTAAATTTAATTTAAAACATTTCCTTTCATTCCATAGTTTGAAATTTTATATAAAAGTTGATAGTGGGGCACCTTACCGAATGTCTTTGCGAAATCTAGGTACAATATATCAAATTGATAGCCATTTTTATTTTCAGTTGTAACAATACCAAAAATTTGTAATAAGTTTTTTAGGCACCCTTGTACAAATCCATGTTGTTAAATTGTTAATATACTTTTTTCTATTATTTAAATCATTGTTTCTATTATTTATCAGCTTTATTTTAATTATTTTTTCCATTATCTTACTTGGTATTGATGTTAAAAAAATTTATCTGTGATTGAGCGGATCCTTCTTATCTGCTTTTTTAAAAAGTGGTGTCATGTTTGCATATTTTCATAATTCTAGCAGTTATCCTTAATGAATTAATTTCTTACATATTATAGATAAAGGTTTAGAAATCCTACTAAACAATACTTTAACACATAGAGACAATCAAATTTAGATGACGGGATGATCCAGTTACACTGTCAATCCAATGCTAATGTAGATTTAAAATACAACGATAAACAAATAACTAGCAAGGCTCGC